AATTCAAATGTAGAGTAACCAGCCATAGCGAAAGAAAACTTGTGCACTGAGAACAACTGTCAAATACGTACTGTTTATTTCACTAAACATCAACCAACTATTATAAGAAAATACACAACGTTTTTGCAAAATAAAAAAAGCGGCTAAAAAACATAAAATATTCTATATCTCCACAACCGTTACTTTGCGGACCCATGTTTATTGGGACTTTTCTGCTTATTTTGGTTCATACTATTACCTCCTTAAATATTTTACACTCTTTTTTTAACACCCTGTATGTATTAGACAAATATAATAAACATTATTTTTTTTCAATGAAGTGTTATATTTTCTAGAAAAAGCGCTTTTTTCTCCAGAAAATAATTTTTCTTACGTTTAATAAACTGCCTAAAAAGTTTACAAGATTGTTAAAATAATTGCAACAATGTAGTTATGAAACTTTCGATTTCATAATTATGATCCACACAAAAAAAATGAAGTGGACTGATTCAATATAGGCATGAGATGTGCTGATCCACAAGGAGATATTGTGTACCAAATGTAGTTTGTCTTAATTTAATTAATAGTTTTATTAAAATTTTTAACAACCTCGAAAATGAATGAGTTTTGGACATTTGTTTAGAGAATTTTTTTTTTCAGAGGTCCCTATAATCACTTATAGTTTGTTCCACATATTATAAAACACCCTATATATTACCAAAGTGTAAACCGCCAAAACCATCATCCTTGATTGAGGTATTAAGGTATAATTCACATCAAAAACTCGGCATTGTCGAGTGATACCTGTGTCTCTTTCTAGTGTGTGTATTAAAAAAGGGACCCAGATATCGTCCGACAACGCCGACCGTTTTATGTGAACACGCCCTGACTTAGGCAATGCTATCATCAATTATTGCGAAAACAAAACAGGTTTCTGCAAAGTGGCATCGGTACTGCCATCTGTGACAGAATGTCCAAACTGCCCTGTATACATATGTATATACGCTTGGGTGCACATCGCGGCTGATAAACATGGCTTTGTATGGCTGACAAATAATAATTTTACAAAAATCTGTTCATTGTCATTATTAGTACGCATTTAAATCCAATTTTCAGGAAACCCTTTACTGAAGACTATATGCTGGAAATGACAAATTTTAGTTTCAATTGTTTATAACTTTAATAATACAAGGTATTTTGCAATAAAAAATATGTCAAGTCCTAGCCCAATATTCTATCTACATACGTATTACTAAATCCTATTAATAAACTATACAGTTTTTGAAATGAACAGATTTTGGTAAAGGTCTATTTTCGATATATCTTTTCATGCCCCTCTTAAACTGATATTCACAGTTTCAACTCAACAATACAAAATTTATTCACTAACTACATTATTAAGTAAAATTTTTATTTAGTCTATGCTATTATAATAAGTTCTCGAAATGTCGTCCTTCCATTTCGACACACAAATTCATTCTTCTCAGAAAGTTACGACGAATCCTGAAGAATATGCCCTCTTTTGTTCTTATTATTGCAAAACTATCAATAATTCGTTGCCTCAGCTCTTCCACGTTATTCACAGGCCTTCTGTATACTAGTGATCCCAGTTTTTAAGCATTCGCGAATGCGAACATCTGTTGTTGACATTCGCGAATGTGAATACGAATATTCAGTTTTTAAATCTAGCGCCGTTTATCTATGATTCAAATGTTAGAAATCGAGCGAAGACCGATAATGTGAACACTTAACCCGAGAGGCAAGGGCTAAGTAAAATAAACAAATTCCTCGGTTAGGGCAGATGAGATACAGGAACCATACATTCACCATTCAGCACTCGGCATTCAACATTCGACGGCAGACGCCCTTATTGACTAGCTGTTTTAAGTGCTTTATATTTCAAATTAAAAACTTGTATTTAATGTAATATATTGAATATTCGCTCATAATTAGTGTGTTTCTAACATCAGAAAGTGGGATCTGAACTCATGCGCTGATCTGAACTTGTGTGCTTGTGACAAAGTGTTTAAGAAAACAAAATTAATATGGAAGATTCGATAGAGCGACATCGAAGCTCGCGTGCAAGGCGTGGAGTCACCCGTCCGTAGGAGCCTGACCCGACGTCATCGTCGAAGAGATACCTCTAGGTCTGGGCAGGAGGATGTCGACAGCAAGAGGTATGGCAGAAGTCATAGCTAGCGCTGGAGCGAGAGATACTCCAGGTAACCGGTGAGCAGGGAAGTTCGCCTAAAGAAGAGAGGGCGTTGGCCGGGCGACAGCCTATCACCCCAGTGCTGAAAGCGTTTCGCAACCACGGCTGCCCCTAGGCCATGGTGTCACAGCTTGAAAGGTTGGTTGAAAAACGGAATCGAGGCGTGAGTAATGTATTTCTGACCATAAATATTATTCCAGAATTTAATCCATTGTTGTATGACGTAAATAAATGGTAGTTGTTGCTGTTGTAGTTGAACAGGGTGGATCCCTGGTACTTTGTTCTAGTACAGAGCAGAATTTTGCTCTGGCAGAGTGGTATTTGCTCTGGGCAGGTAGACTGGAATTTGGTCATCTGGAGGTATTTATTATTTGAGTGGTAGTTGCTCTGGTCAGGTAAACTAGGTAATGGGTTTAATACGAAATGGAACAAAGACATTCCAAATTTACAGCTAAGGGATTCCACGTCGCTACCACTGGTCTCCTAAACGGTGGCAAGGTTCAACCCCTAGATGTGACTGCCATTCGAGATCATATGACTGCAGTAGCTGCTGAACATCAGAAAGCACAAAAACGTCGCTTTGGTAGGAATCGCATTGTCGGACCGATGTATGGGGAAGGAGATTTGGTTCTACTGCGACTTGCGGCTAATCCAAACACTGGCAGCAGCCGTATGGTTTAGGACATACCTGGTGCTCTTCTTTTACGCATACCATACTGCAGAGTCGGAGAATATGAGACGGCGGAGTTACTGTGCTGAGCCCGCCGTAAGTAAACAGAACAGTACAGGCTAGACAGGGGTCGGCAACCTTTTTTGGCTGCGGGTTAAAATCAACCAGTGTGAATATTAAAGGGACGTTTGGGTCAGTGATATTTTCATTTTAAAACAGTCTTTTAGTGAATAATAAGATACATTTTATTAAGAAAATAATTACAATACGCTTTTAAACTTTAATTATTATTATAAAAACTAATAAAATTCTAATTATTATAAAAAGAAACATTTAGCAGTTACCTAAGTGAAATAATTATTATTATTTAAAAAAATATATTGCCATGAACAAACAAAAAGCAAAAAAGAGGTTATATCAAGATTGACGTGCGCGCAAAAACAAAGCATCTATTTTCTATTTTTTTTTATTCTCAAAATATTCGTTTCATGTTTATGTTTTATAATTTATTTTTATATATTATACTTTTTTTAGGAAATAAAGTGGGTCACTTGAAATTAGTAAATGGGTCACTCGGTGACCCGCGGGTCATAGGTTGCCGACCCCTGGGCTAGAGTCCTGGTTTCTGGTTCTGGACAGAGCAATGCGGGTTGGGCCCCTGGTCTTTGCTCTGGCAGGTGGACTATGCGAGTGCGCTTCTCGGTCTTAGCCACCAGACAGGAGAACTATGCGGGTGAGAGTCCTGGTCTTAGTTCTACCTGAAAGCGTGGGAGCTCCCAAATTAGGTGTAGTTATTTTATATTATTAGCTATTAAGGATTATTCATGTATGTTCTGTTTTTATTTATTGTTTTATTCGTGCATGCATACACATAATTTTATGTTTCCATGGTTTATTTTTATTGCATAGGTTAGGTGTGAACTGGCAATCGAATTGGTGATAATTGGTTCTGAATCTTCGTTTTATATTACAAAAAAAAAGTCTTGTCGTTGTTACAGAATACTTGTTAGTTTTTCTGCCCTAGGTACCAGCAATTTGGTCTCCCTGTATATCGTTAGAGTGGGACACTCTAAAGTCAGGAAAGGCCGTGTTAGAAATCGAGCGAAGACCGATAATGTGAACACTTAACCCGAGAGGCAAGGGCTAAGTAAAATAAACAAATTCCTCGGCTAGGGCAGATGAGATACAGGAACCATACATTCACCATTCAGCACTCGGCATTCAACATTCAACGGCAGACGCCCTTATTGACTAGCTGTTTCAAGTGCTTTATAAACCTTTTATATTTCAAATTAAAAACTTGTATTTAATGTAATATATTGAATATTCGCTCATAATTAGTGTGTTTCTAACGCAAAATATGCCGCGCGCGACGCACATAATATTTCCGGTGACAGCGGCGCTAGAGGCTAAAGAAATTAGCGTTGTTAAGTTGGTAGCACGGTATTTTTGTATGATTGGAATTTTGTTTTGTTTTCGCTACCGGCTCAGATGAGTTTGTGAATTGTGAAATTAGACTGTTGTTAATTATTTCTTAACTTTTTTGTTTAATTTACCTAATATTGTTTTCACATTCTGTATTTTTCTTTCACGTTCATATTCGCAAAATATTCAAAGATATTTGCGAATGCAAATATAAATCAAACGAATATTTGCGAATGCGAATGCGGATATTCGTTACATCACTACTGTATACGTGACTTAACATAGCCCCACAGGAAAAAGTCAATCAGGTTCAAGTCGGGCAATCTGGCAGGCCACTATAAATCCACCACCCCCTATTCACCTCTCAGGGAAAATTTTATTGAGGTGCTCTCTCACCGTTAAACTGTAATGAGGCGGTGCACAGTCATGCAGTAGCCACATTGCACGTTGCACTCCAATAAGAACGTTTTCTAACAAAACTAGCAGATCATTTTGTAGAAAGTGTAGGAAAACCTCACCATCAAACCTTTGAGGAAAGAAATGCGGCCCAACTAAATGATCTCCCACGATGCCAGCCCATACATTCACAGAAAATTTATTCTGGAACCCACGTTCCACTAAATGAGGATTCTCGTCACACCAATAATGTTTATTATGTAGATTTATTACACAATCACGCCCAAATCCAGCTTCATCCATGACTAACTTATAAGTCTGTCCTTAAGTATGTCCTTTTTTCCAGTTTTTTTTTCTGTATCTTATCTGTTTTTTTTTCTTGTTTTATATGTTTAGATTAGTACATCTTATGCTAAATATTTTATAATAAATGTCTGTAATTGGATCATTGCGATCTGTAGATTGTTCATCAATAAATAAATAAATAAATAAAAGAATTGTATTGATGAAATTTCTGTTGCCATCATGGAGATTTATAATTGTCCTGCCAAAATTCAGTCGTGCAATCGGATCTCTAGGGAGTAGGGCATGGACCTTTTGATAGTGGATGCAGTTGTTCCTGAAAAATTTCATAGACTGAGCTTTTAGGAATATTTTCCTGCGATGCAATTAACCTGACGCTTATATCAGAATTATTATCAACCACATCCAAAACACGAACTTCAACCCCAGGAGTTCGAATTTGTCGTGGGCGACCAACATCAAACCGCCTCGTCTTAAAAGAGCCAAACTCACCTAATCTCTGATGGGAGTACTGAACAACTGCGGTCGTGGAATTCTTTTATTTGGAAATGCATCTTGATACAAACGTTTTGCTCTTGATGCATTTCCAGCAGTTAAGCCATAATAATAATGCATGTCGCGCAGCTCCTCATTCGAATATTCATTATAATTATTATTGTTATTATTATTATTTATTTTATCAGTTTTAATCACGAAACTTATTACACACAAATGATCACAACAGAATAATTCACATAAATATTATCTGTCAAAAGTAGCTAAGGCAACATTAAGTTATTGTTTTCAACGCCTCCTTTGTAAATCTTAAAAATCAGTTTAAACCAGCATTAACGCATGAAAATGTTTGAAGTCGTTTTTCTCATAAACAGTTCATTTTATTGGAACATAAATCTACAAGGGCACTAGTAATACATAGGAAAGACTTGGAAAAAATAAAATCACAAATAAAAAAGTTATCTAAAACTAAAAAAAAAAAATTTTAATGACACTGTTAATATTGAGTTTTCGAAAAATTGTTATAGGACTTTGTGACCCTAATTTTTTGCGAGGTATCACCTCCTGAAGTCTTGACACATAATTTCCGGACACCCTGTATAGATATGTTACTAATTGTAAATGAAACTAATTTAAATTAAAATATTAATCTTGAAGCAGTGTATGTATTTAATTTGTGAATCTCAATATCAATGAACTCTGACATTAACCTAGTTTAGCAATTTAGCTGAACTATACTACTGTTACTAAGTACAGTAGCTAGGGACAAGTATGTAAAGAGATATGATATGTTGCCACTCTTTTTTCTTACTGAGCCATTTCAGCAGTGATTCAGTGCTAGACATATTAAATGAATCCAAAATAAATAAAATAGCAAGAAAATTAAACCGTGAACAGTTTGAATTTAAGTAGAATCCGACCCTGTTCTGAACGCCTAGGAAGAGGGCAACGGAAGATAGCCTTTGCTGTTATATTGGCATGCCATATCTTCGTTTTAAAAATCAACTACCGCCAATTGTCTTCACACCTAATATGATGGGATTGTAAACAAGTTAACGATAAACTACCATGTTATTTCAACAAATTGTGAATGGCCAAATATGTCGTCACTGTTTCATTCTGTTACATTCTTATTTTAGCTTTCAACTTTATTGGTTTATGAGAGAGTATTCGTAAAGTGTCTTTGTGTGGTGATACAGTATATATTTGTTTCAAATTTCAAGTTTTTGTGTGATATGAAAAAGCATCATCAAGAAAGAGGTGATATGATTGGAGCCTACTTTTTGTTATGAGAAAGCGATTCTGCTGCAAGAAGATGATATTAAATTGATTATTCCAACCGTCCAATGCCGAATAAGAAAATGTTTGTAAGATTCTTTCAGTATTTAAGAGATTCAAATGAAATCACACATTAAAAATTAATTAAACCAATGTTTTTCAAATGATTTGAATTAGCTTAATGCCTTTAAAATAGAGTAGAAAAATAATAATAATAATAATAATAATAATAATAATAATAATTATTATTATTATTATTATTATTATTATAATTAGATTATTGTGCAAAACCGTACTTATCTTATCAACTTCGACGTCACCTGTTACATGGGTGTTGCACAATAATGAAAAAGTAATATTAACGGTCGGTAGAAGGAAGCACAAAAAAACAAGCACTTAGGGGGGCATTCTGGAAGGAAGCCTAAATAGTTGAAGATAGGCAGTTGAAGTGAGAACAGTGCGCAGATAGGTAGCAAGACTGTCGGCGGGCAGGGCGACAAAATAGTGTAAATCAAAGTGTTTAACCCATATTAATTAGCAGGTAATATTCTTTAAGTACTTTGTTGTTAATTCTTCTATATAATCTTATGATTGTGATGGTTATAGATGTTTCATGATAATAATTCTTTGTATGTTTAGCTTTCAATGTCTTACGCTCAGGGGCGTATATTTTATACAATTATTATTATAGATTGCTCATTATTTATTACATGTTAAAATATGTAACGAGCGTTCAAATAAAAACGTGGTCAAGTTGGTTCTGAAAATTTGGACGTAGGGCGTAGCGTATAGCAAATGAACTTAAACGTCATCTGTCAAAGCGCTATATCGCCGCTATCAATTTGAATATTTTCATTTTAAACGCTTTTTAAAACGAAAATATTCAAATTGATAGCGGCGATATAGCGCTTTGACAGATGACGTTTAAGTTCATTTGCTATACGCTACGCCCTACGTCCAAATTTTCAGAACCAACTTGACCACGTTTTTATTTGAACGCTCGTTAT